GTTCTGGATGTTCTGGATGTTCTGGATGTTCTGGATGTTCTGAATGTTCAGGATGTTCTGGATGTTCTGGATGTTCTGGATGTTCTGGATGTTCTGAATGTTCTGGATGTTCAGGATGTTCTGGGTGTTCTGGATGTTCAGGATGTTCTGGATGGTCTGGATGTTCTGGATGTTCAGGATGTTCTGGATGTTCTGGATGTTCTGAATGTTCTGGATGTTCTGAATGTTCTGGATGTTCTGGATGTTCTGGATGTTCAGGATGTTCTGGGTGTTCTGGATGTTCTGGATGTTCTTTCAGAGCTCAGGTGTCTAACAGCTTCCTGTGTTTCAGGACGAGGAGATGCCTCTGGTTTACATCGGAGTCTTCATCGAACATCCAACTCCCTTCATGGAGGAGTTTCTGGAGAGACTGACCACCATGAACTATCCTCTGGAGAGGGTCCGCCTGTTCATACACAACAGCGTGAGAGACACACACACACACACTCACTCACACACACTCACACACTCAGACACACACACACACACACACACACACACACACACACACACACACACACACACTCAGACACACACACACACACACTCAGACACACACACACACACATACTCACACACACACACACACACACACACACACACACATACTCACACACACACACACACACTCAGACACACACACTCAGACACACACACACAGACTCACTCACTCACTCACTCACTCAGACACACACACACTCAGACACACACACACACACACACACACACGCTCAGACACACACACACTCCCTCTGACCCCCCCTCTCTCTTGTGGTGTGTTCAGGCTCCCTCTGACCCCCTCTCTCTCGTGGTGTGTTCAGGCTCCCTCTGACCCCCTCTCTCTCGTGGTGTGTTCAGGCTCCCTCTGACCCCCTCTCTCTTGTGGTGTGTTCAGGCTCCCTCTCACCCCCTCTCTCTTGTGGTGTGTTCAGGCTCCCTCTGACCCCCTCTCTCTCGTGGTGTGTTCAGGCTCCCTCTGACCCCCTCTCTCTCGTGGTGTGTTCAGGCTCCCTCTGACCCCCTGTAATTCTCTGTGTTCAGGTGGTGTATCACGAACGTCACATCAAGCGTTTCTGGGAGAAACACCGCTCTCTTTTCCCCGAGGCCCGTCTGATCGGACCGGAGGAGAACCTTCCGGAGAACAAGGCTCGGCACATGGCTGTGTGAGGAGAACCTCTGACTATACAGGAGCTAACGTGCTAACGTGCTAACGGGCTGATCTCTAAGTGTGTCTCTGTGTGCAGGGAGGCGTGTAAGAAGGACCTCGGCTGTGATTACTACTTCAGCATCGACTCTGACGTGGCTCTGATCAACGCCGACGCCCTGCGGATCCTCATCGAGGAGAACAAGTACGTCTTTATCCCGGGAGGGGGTGTTGTTATTGACGTGTGTGTGTTGTTATTGACGTGTGTTGTTATTGACCTGTGTGTGTCAATAACAAGTATGTTCCATCATGTCTTTATCCCAGGGTGTGTGTGTTGTTATTGACGTGTGTGTGTTGTTATTGACGTCTCTCTCTCTCAGGTCGGTGATCGCCCCCATGCTCTCTCGTCACGGTAAACTCTGGAGTAACTTCTGGGGCGCTCTGAGTCCGGAGGGCTTCTACTCCAGATCTGAGGACTACATCGAGATCGTGCAGGGCAAGAGGATGTGAGCGTCACTCATCAGGGGTTCACTAACGAGGGGTTCACTAACGAGGGGTTCGCTAACGAGGGGTTCGCTAACGAGGGGTTCACTAACGAGGGGTTCACTAACAAGGGGTTCGCTAACGAGGGGTTCACTAACAAGGGGTTCACTAACGAGGGGTTAACTAACGAGGGGTTGGCTAAGGGTTCGCTAACGAGGGGTTCACTAACGAGGGGTTCACTAACGAGGGGTTCGCTAACAAGGGGTTCGCTAATGAGGGGTTCACTAACAAGGGGTTCACTAACGAGGGGTTAACTAACGAGGGGTTAGCTAAGGGTTCGCTAACGAGGGGTTCACTAATGAGGGGTTCACTAACAAGGGGTTCGCTAACGAGGGGTTCACTAAGGGTTCGCTAACGAGGGGTTCACTAACGAGGGGTTGGCTAAGGGTTCGCTAACGAGGGGTTCACTAACGAGGGGTTCACTAACGAGGGGTTCGCTAACAAGGGGTTCGCTAATGAGGGGTTCACTAACAAGGGGTTCACTAACGAGGGGTTAACTAACGAGGGGTTAGCTAAGGGTTCGCTAACGAGGGGTTCACTAATGAGGGGTTCACTAACAAGGGGTTCGCTAACGAGGGGTTCACTAAGGGTTCGCTAACGAGGGGTTCACTAACGAGGGGTTGGCTAAGGGTTCACTAACGAGGGGTTCACTAACGAGGGGTTCGCTAACGAGGGGTTAACTAACGAGGGGTTAGCTAACGAGGGGTTAGCTAACGAGGGGTTCGCTAACGAGGGGTTCACTAACGAGGGGTTAGCTAAGGGTTCGCTAACGAGGGGTTCACTAATGAGGGGTTCACTAACGAGGGGTTCGCTAACGAGGGGTTCACTAAGGGTTCGCTAACGAGGGGTTCACTAACGAGGGGTTGGCTAAGGGTTCACTAACGAGGGGTTCGCTAACGAGGGGTTAACTAACGAGGGGTTAGCTAACGAGGGGTTCGCTAACGAGGGGTTCGCTAACGAGGGGTTCGCTAACGAGGGGTTCGCTAACGAGGGGTTCACTAACAAGGGGTTCACTAACAAGGGGTTCGCTAACGAGGGGTTCACTAACAAGGGGTTCACTAACGAGGGGTTAACTAACGAGGGGTTGGCTAAGGGTTCGCTAACGAGGGGTTCACTAACGAGGGGTTCACTAACGAGGGGTTCGCTAACAAGGGGTTCGCTAATGAGGGGTTCACTAACAAGGGGTTCACTAACGAGGGGTTAACTAACGAGGGGTTAGCTAAGGGTTCGCTAACGAGGGGTTCACTAATGAGGGGTTCACTAACAAGGGGTTCGCTAACGAGGGGTTCACTAAGGGTTCGCTAACGAGGGGTTCACTAACGAGGGGTTGGCTAAGGGTTCACTAACGAGGGGTTCACTAACGAGGGGTTCGCTAACGAGGGGTTAACTAACGAGGGGTTAGCTAACGAGGGGTTAGCTAACGAGGGGTTCGCTAACGAGGGGTTCACTAACGAGGGGTTAGCTAAGGGTTCGCTAACGAGGGGTTCACTAATGAGGGGTTCACTAACGAGGGGTTCGCTAACGAGGGGTTCACTAAGGGTTCGCTAACGAGGGGTTCACTAACGAGGGGTTGGCTAAGGGTTCACTAACGAGGGGTTCACTAACGAGGGGTTCGCTAACGAGGGGTTAACTAACGAGGGGTTAGCTAACGAGGGGTTCGCTAACGAGGGGAAACAGAGCCTGTGAAAAAAATCAAGATTTATAAAAAACAAATTCAAATATTTAAATGTTTTATTTATAATATTATTTCTCAAAGTATTCTAACTTTTCCAAACCAATTTTCCAACTTCCAAACTAACTCAATCCCACAATTCTCCAAATATTAATCTTATTTTCTCAAAGTATTCAAACTGTATTTCTCTTTCTTTAATCAAGTGTTTCAACCTTTTTCTGATATAAATGTTGTGTGTGTGTTGTGTGTGTGTGTGTGTGTGTGTGTGTGTGTGTGTGTGTGTGTGTGTGTGTGTGTGTGTGTGTGTGTGTGTGTGTGTGTGTGTGTGTGTGTGTGTGTCAGTGGTCTCTGGAACGTCCCCTACATCACTCAGGCCTACCTGCTCCGAGGCTCCGTGCTGCGCTCCCGTCTCTCTCAGGCGAGCCTCTACCTGGACGAGACCATGGACCCTGACATGGTGTTCTGCAGGAGCATCAGAGACCAGGTACACACACACACACACACACACACACACACACACACACACACACACACACACACACACTCATGTTGTCAGATAGTAGATTTTAATTGAACCTCCCCTTTCAATTTTGTATTTTTGTGTTGTCCCACATGATGTTTTTGTTTGTGTGTTTGTTTGTGTGTTTGTTTGTGTGTTTGTTTGTTTGTTTGTTGCATATCGTTGTAAACCTCCTGAGCTACGAGCTTTTTAATCAACGTCTCTGTGTCTTCAGGGCGTCTTCATGTTCGTTTCAAACCGCGATGAGTTCGGGCGTCTCACTGCCTCGGCGAACTTCAACACCTCCAAGCTGCACCCCGACATGTGGCAGATCTTCGACAACCCCGTGGTGAGCGAAACAAACGCACCCTCAGAGAACATGTGGAATATATTTCTATTGAGTTTACATTTAGTTTATTTCTAGTCTTTCAATAAAGTATTTCTTATCCTATCTTACTTTAGACTTAAAGGTCCCCTATCATCCTCTTCTTCATCAATATATCACAGGTCTCAGATGCCTGGCTGAAACACCAAACAGATCATTGCAGCATTACCCATAATCCCCTCTGTTTCAGCCCTGTTTCCAAAGTGCTGATTCTCTGTCTGTTACTTTAGATGAAAATAAGGAGCCCCTCCCCACGCCCCTCTGAGAGACATTTGGTTAAAAAGAACTCAATGGTGCTCTAGGAGGAGATTCAGGTGATAAGGTGGGGGGGGGGGGGGGGTTACCTTGGTTGCTGATTGGCTAATGGTTACACAAGACAACACATCGTTATGACATCATCAAGTGGCCAAAATCTGATCAGCTGATTTTCAGACAGGTTTTTATAGAAATGGATCAGGACTGTGAATGGTGATGCGTTCAGGCTCCATTCAGTACAGGCACTAAGTTGTTATCATGACATCGTAGTTACACAGCATGTGTGTGTTTCTGCAGGACTGGAAGGAGAAGTACATCAGTGAGGATTACCCCAAGATCTTTGAAAACAACTCCATCGTGACGCAGGTAAATAAAAAACCTATTAACTCATTCATTCATTTCTGATATTTAGTTTCTCTGAGTTGACAATATGTTTCAAGTTGAAGTAAATCCACGGATAGAAAGACACCTTGTTCAATGTCTGTGTGTGTGTGTGTGTGTGTGGTGTGTGTGTGTGTGTGTGTGTGTGTGTGTGTGTGTGTGTGTGTGTGTGTGTGTGTGTGTGTGTGTGTGTGTGTGTGTGTGTGTGTGTGTGTGTGTGTGTGTGTGTGTGTGTGTGTGTGTGTGTGTGTGTGTGTATGTGTGTGTGTGTGTGTGTGTGTGTGTGTGTGTGTGTGTGTGTGTGTGTGTGTGCAGCCCTGTCCAGATGTGTACTGGTTCCCAGCGTTCTCAGAGAAGATGTGTGACCACCTGGTGGAAACCATGGAGGCCCTAGACGATTGGTCGGGGGGGAAACACACGGTGAGACTTCTGCTGAGCTTCTTTTTAAGAAACACTTACTTTCTGGGGCTTTTATTCTGAAAATCAAACCTTCCTGAGCTTCCTGTTAGGATAGAGCTAATCGATGGAGCTTTTATTTTGAAACATCCCGTGTGCAGGACGAGCGTCTGGCGGGGGGGTACGAGAACGTTCCCACGGTGGACACGCACATGACTCAGATCGGCTTCGAGAAGGAGTGGCTCAAGTTCCTGAAGGAGTACATCAGCCCCATCACTGAGAAGCTGTACCCCGGGTACTACCCCAAGGTACTAATATATATATATATACACACTACATCAGCCCCATCACTGAGAAGCTGTACCCCGGGTACTACCCCAAGGTACTAATATATATATATATACACACTACATCAGCCCCATCACTGAGAAGCTGTACCCCGGGTACTACCCCAAGGTACTAATATATATATATATACACACTACATCAGCCCCATCACTGAGAAGCTGTACCCCGGGTACTACCCCAAGGTACTAATATATATATATATACACACTACATCAGCCCCATCACTGAGAAGCTGTACCCCGGGTACTACCCCAAGGTACTAATATATATATATATACACACTACATCAGCCCATCACTGAGAAGCTGTACCCCGGGTACTACCCCAAGGTACTAATATATATATATATATACACACTACATCAGCCCATCACTGAGAAGCTGTACCCCGGGTACTACCCCAAGGTACTAATATATATATATATATACACACTACATCAGCCCCATCACTGAGAAGCTGTACCCCGGGTACTACCCCAAGGTACTAATATATATATATATATACACACTACATCAGCCCCATCACTGAGAAGCTGTACCCCGGGTACTACCCCAAGGTACTAATATATATATATATACACACTACATCAGCCCCATCACTGAGAAGCTGTACCCCGGGTACTACCCCAAGGTACTAATGTACATATATATATATACACACTACATCAGCCCATCACTGAGAAGCTGTACCCCGGGTACTACCCCAAGGTACTAATATATATATATATATACACACTACATCAGCCCCATCACTGAGAAGCTGTACCCCGGGTACTACCCCAAGGTACTAATATATATATATATATACACACTACATCAGCCCATCACTGAGAAGCTGTACCCCGGGTACTACCCCAAGGTACTAATATATATATATATATACACACTACATCAGCCCATCACTGAGAAGCTGTACCCCGGGTACTACCCCAAGGTACTAATATATATATATATACACACTACATCAGCCCCATCACTGAGAAGCTGTACCCCGGGTACTACCCCAAGGTACTAATATATATATATATATACACACTACATCAGCCCCATCACTGAGAAGCTGTACCCCGGGTACTACCCCAAGGTACTAATATATATATATATACACACTACATCAGCCCCATCACTGAGAAGCTGTACCCCGGGTACTACCCCAAGGTACTAATGTACATATATATATATACACACAATACACTGTACCCCGGGTACTACCCCAAGGTACTAATATATATATATATTATATAAATGAATGTATGTTATAATGAAATGTATTTCAGTCTCAGGCCATCATGAACTTCGTGGTGCGTTACCGTCCGGACGAACAGCCGTCTCTGCGACCGCATCACGACTCCTCAACGTTCACCATCAACATCGCTCTGAACAGCAAGGGGGAGGACTACGAGGTACACACACACACACACACACACACACACACACACACACACACACACACACACACACACACACACACACACACAACACACACACACACACACACACACACACACACACACACACACACACACACACACACACACACACACAGATCTCATCATGTCCCCATACCTCTGTGTCTCAGGGCGGCGGCTGCAGGTTCCTGCGCTACGACTGCAAAGTGGAGTCTCCTCGTAAAGGCTGGTCCTTCATGCACCCCGGACGCCTCACACACTACCACGAGGGCCTGCCCACCACCAGGGGCACGCGCTACATCATGGTGTCCTTCGTGGACCCCTGAGAGAGAGAGAGAGAGAGAGAGAGTGTGTGTGTGTGTGTGTCTCTCTGTGTGTGTGTGTGTGTGTGTGTGTGTGTGTGTGTGTGTGTGTGTGTGTGTGTGTGTGTGTGTGTGTGTGTGTGTGTGTGTGTGTGTGTGTGTGTGTGTGTGTGTGTGTGTGTGTGTGTGTGTGTGTGTGTGTGTGTGTGTGTGTGTGTGTGTGTGTGTGTGTGTGTGTGTGTGTGTGTGAACCTAAGTCAACCTCATCATCACTGATAGAGCCAGACAGGGCGGAGGAACAGACCCTGAACGCATCGCTTGACGTACATTTCAGAATAAGAGTCCATTTATTCTGCTGTTTGCTTCATTGACTTACTTTTTCTTTTATCAATCTTGTCATTTCAAAATAAGAGCCTTCAGTGGCTTCAGAAAAGCAAATGTTACATTTCAAAGTAAGAGTCTTTATTTTATTTTTTTAAATGTAATAACTTTATACGTGCATATGTGGCCTTTCAAAATAAGAGTCTTTCATTCATAAATGTAATTCCTTCACAAAAGCTAATGTCGCATTTCAGAATAAGAGTCTTTCACTTCTAAATATAATAACATTAACGACAACATTTGGAATTTCAAAATAAAAGTATTTGATGAGATTTTATCTTCATTTAGTGACTTTCACTCAAGCAGTTGTAGCATTTCAAAATAAGAGTCTCGTTGAGGTTTAACAGATTGTCACCGCGCTGCCTTTTTATCAAACTACTTGAACCTATGCAAGCAGACCAATCACACTCCGCCTTTATGTGTGTGTGTGTGTGTGTGTGTGTGTGTGTGTGTGTGTGTGTGTGTGTGTGTGTGTGTGTGTGTGTGTGTGTGTGTGTGTGTGACTGTGTGTGTGTGTGTGTGTGTGTGTGACTGTGTGTGTGTGTGTGTGTGTGTGTGTGTGTGTGTGTGTGACTGTGTGTGTGTCTGTGTGTGACTGTGTGTGACTGTGTGTGTGTGTGTGTGTGACTGTGTGTGTGTGTGTGTGTGTGTGTGTGTGTGACTGTGTGTGTGTCTGTGTGTGACTGTGTGTGTCTGTGTGTGACTGTGTGTGACTGTGTGTGACTGTGTGTGACTGTGTGTGTGTGTGTGTGTGTGTGTGTGTGACTGTGTGTGTGTGTGTGTGTGTGTGTGTGTGTGACTGTGTGTGTCTGTGTGTGACTGTGTGTGACTGTGTGTGTGTGTGTGTGTGACTGTGTGTGTGTGTGTGTGTGTGTGTGTGTGTGTGTGTGTGTGACTGTGTGTGTGTCTGTGTGTGACTGTGTGTGACTGTGTGTGTGTGTGTGTGTGTGTGTGTGTGTGTGACTGTGTGTGTGTGTGTGTGTGTGTGTGTGTGTGACTGTGTGTGTGTCTGTGTGTGACTGTGTGTGTCTGTGTGTGTCTGTGTGTGACTGTGTGTGTCTGTGTGTGACTGTGTGTGACTGTGTGTGACTGTGTGTGACTGTGTGTGTGTGTGTGTGTGTGTGTGTGTGTGTGTGACTGTGTGTGTGTGTGTGTGTGTGTGTGTGTGTGTGTGTGTGTGTGTGTGTGTGTGTGTGTGTGTGTGTGTGTGTGTGTGTCCTCTCTGCTGTCACACTCCTGAATGTTCCTCAGCACTGATCCTGAAGGAAAATAAAACGTAATTCTTGCTCGAGTTTAAAATAAATGAAAATAGCCGTGGAGCAATGCATGATGGGAGCTCAGACGGCTGTTTTTCGGCCAATCAGATCACTGGGATTGAGCCAAAAAGCAGGAAAATAGAAATATATTTTTATGTTTAGTTCAAATGTAGTTTTTGAGAAACACTAAAGGCCTTTTTTCTACTTCCTGTTTGTTTTAAAGTCGTTGTGTTTCCATCGTCTCCTCAGTGTTCATCATTCTGTTTGTTTTTATTATTTCCATGCGTGCCTGTCTCTGGCTTTGTAAAAACTGCGTTAAATTATTTGACTGAGCGAATAAAGTTTTGAGATTTGAATAAATAATGTTACTGTCACAGCGGGGTGCGTCTGTCTCTGTCGGGGAAAGTGGAGGTCTTTCATGGGATTTTTATGAATTTATGGAGATAATAATAAAAATATAACGGGGCGACTGTGGCTGTGAGGGAGAGCGGTCGTCTTTCAACCAGAAGGTTGTGGGTTCGATCCCTGCCCGTGCAGCCAACATGTCGATGTATCCTTGGGCAAGATACTGAACCCTGAGTGTGTGTGAATGTTAGTTCCTAGAGTAAGGTACACTGCTCTGTGTGAATGTTAGTTCCTAGAGTGAGGTACACTGCTCTGTGTGAATGTTAGTTCCTAGAGTAAGGTACACTGCTCTGTGTGAATGTTAGTTCCTAGAGTAAGGTACACTGCTCTGTGTGAATGTTAGTTCCTAGAGTAAGGTACACTGCTCTGTGTGAATGTTAGTTCCTAGAGTAAGGTACACTGCTCTGTATGAATGTTAGGTCCTAGAGTAAGGTACACTGCTCTGTGTGAATGTTAGTTCCTAGAGTAAGGTACACTGCTCTGTATGAATGTTAGGTCCTAGAGTAAGGTACACTGCTCTGTATGAATGTTAGTTCCTAGAGTAAGGTACACTGCTCTGTGTGAATGTTAGTTCCTAGAGTAAGGTACACTGCTCTGTATGAATGTTAGGTCCTAGAGTAAGGTACACTGCTCTGTGTGAATGTTAGTTCCTAGAGTAAGGTACACTGCTCTGTATGAATGTTAGGTCCTAGAGTAAGGTACACTGCTCTGTATGAATGTTAGTTCCTAGAGTAAGGTACACTGCTCTGTGTGAATGTTAGTTCCTAGAGTAAGGTACACTGCTCTGTGTGAATGTTAGTTCCTAGAGTAAGGTACACTGCTCTGTATGAATGTTAGGTCCTAGAGTAAGGTACACTGCTCTGTGTGAATGTTAGGTCCTAGAGTAAGGTACACTGCTCTGTGTGAATGTTAGTTCCTAGAGTAAGGTACACTGCTCTGTGTGAATGTTAGTTCCTAGAGTAAGGTACACTGCTCTGTATGAATGTTAGTTCCTAGAGTAAGGTACACTGCTCTGTGTGAATGTTAGGTCCTAGAGTAAGGTACACTGCTCTGTATGAATGTTAGTTCCTAGAGTAAGGTACACTGCTCTGTGTGAATGTTAGTTCCTAGAGTAAGGTACACTGCTCTGTGTGAATGTTAGTTCCTAGAGTAAGGTACACTGCTCTGTGTGAATGTTAGTTCCTAGAGTAAGGTACACTGCTCTGTGTGAATGTTAGGTCCTAGAGTAAGGTACACTGCTCTGTGTGAATGTTAGTTCCTAGAGTAAGGTACACTGCTCTGTGTGAATGTTAGTTCCTAGAGTAAGGTACACTGCTCTGTGTGAATGTTAGTTCCTAGAGTAAGGTACACTGCTCTGTGTGAATGTTAGTTCCTAGAGTAAGGTACACTGCTCTGTATGAATGTTAGTTCCTAGAGTAAGGTACACTGCTCTGTATGAATGTTAGTTCCTAGAGTAAGGTACACTGCTCTGTGTGAATGGTAGTTCCTAGAGTAAGGTACACTGCTCTGTGTGAATGGTAGTTCCTAGAGTAAGGTACACTGCTCTGTATGAATGGTAGTTCCTAGAGTAAGGTACACTGCTCTGTGTGAATGTTAGTTCCTAGAGTAAGGTACACTGCTCTGTGTGAATGTTAGTTCCTAGAGTAAGGTACACTGCTCTGTGTGAATGTTAGGTCCTAGAGTAAGGTACACTGCTCTGTATGAATGTTAGGTCCTAGAGTAAGGTACACTGCTCTGTATGAATGTTAGTTCCTAGAGTAAGGTACACTGCTCTGTGTGAATGTTAGTTCCTAGAGTAAGGTACACTGCTCTGTGTGAATGTTAGTTCCTAGAGTAAGGTACACTGCTCTGTATGAATGTTAGTTCCTAGAGTAAGGTACACTGCTCTGTGTGAATGTTAGTTCCTAGAGTAAGGTACACTGCTCTGTGTGAATGTTAGTTCCTAGAGTAAGGTACACTGCTCTGTGTGAATGTTAGTTCCTAGAGTAAGGTACACTGCTCTGTGTGAATGTTAGTTCCTAGAGTAAGGTACACTGCTCTGTATGAATGTTAGGTCCTAGAGTAAGGTACACTGCTCTGTGTGAATGTTAGTTCCTAGAGTAAGGTACACTGCTCTGTATGAATGTTAGTTCCTAGAGTAAGGTACACTGCTCTGTGTGAATGTTAGTTCCTAGAGTAAGGTACACTGCTCTGTATGAATGTTAGTTCCTAGAGTAAGGTACACTGCTCTGTGTGAATGTTAGTTCCTAGAGTAAGGTACACTGCTCTGTGTGAATGTTAGTTCCTAGAGTAAGGTACACTGCTCTGTATGAATGTTAGGTCCTAGAGTAAGGTACACTGCTCTGTGTGAATGTTAGGTCCTAGAGTAAGGTACACTGCTCTGTGTGAATGTTAGTTCCTAGAGTAAGGTACACTGCTCTGTGTGAATGTTAGTTCCTAGAGTAAGGTACACTGCTCTGTATGAATGTTAGTTCCTAGAGTAAGGTACACTGCTCTGTGTGAATGTTAGGTCCTAGAGTAAGGTACACTGCTCTGTATGAATGTTAGTTCCTAGAGTAAGGTACACTGCTCTGTGTGAATGTTAGTTTCCTAGAGTAAGGTACACTGCTCTGTGTGAATGTTAGTTCCTAGAGTAAGGTACACTGCTCTGTGTGAATGTTAGTTCCTAGAGTAAGGTACACTGCTCTGTGTGAATGTTAGGTCCTAGAGTAAGGTACACTGCTCTGTGTGAATGTTAGTTCCTAGAGTAAGGTACACTGCTCTGTGTGAATGTTAGTTCCTAGAGTAAGGTACACTGCTCTGTGTGAATGTTAGTTCCTAGAGTAAGGTACACTGCTCTGTGTGAATGTTAGTTCCTAGAGTAAGGTACACTGCTCTGTATGAATGTTAGTTCCTAGAGTAAGGTACACTGCTCTGTATGAATGTTAGTTCCTAGAGTAAGGTACACTGCTCTGTGTGAATGGTAGTTCCTAGAGTAAGGTACACTGCTCTGTGTGAATGGTAGTTCCTAGAGTAAGGTACACTGCTCTGTATGAATGGTAGTTCCTAGAGTAAGGTACACTGCTCTGTGTGAATGTTAGTTCCTA